ACCTAGGGGATGAGTACTTAAGGGGGTTAGATTTTGATAAGTTCTTTAGTGGGAATGACACTGATGAAGACTGCACATTGTAGTCGAAATACGTATCTGTCATGGATACCAAAATTAATTAAGTGGAATTAAATGGAAGATAACCCTTTTTTTAGCTGTTTTATTAAAGCATTCCGCTAACAACCCAATTTCATTACTTCATTATGATGGCTACCAAGCCTTTGGGATTTTCCTTATTAGAGAGTTGAATAGATTTTTCTCCTTTAACTTACTTAAATCTTTGGTTTTAATTAGTTAGGTAGGTTCCGATTCAACACATTGTAGTTTCATTTATATACCTGTGATCTTGACTTTTATACCTAGGGGATGAGTACTTAAGGGGGTTAGATTTTGATAAGTTCTTTAGTGGGAATGACACTGATGAAGACTGCACATTGTAGTCGAAATACGTATCTGTCATGGATACCAAAATTAATTAAGTGGAATTAAATGGAAGATAACCCTTTTTTTAGCTGTTTTATTAAAGCATTCCGCTAACAACCCAATTTCATTACTTCATTATGATGGCTACCAAGCCTTTGGGATTTTCCTTATTAGAGAGTTGAATAGATTTTTCTCCTTTAACTTACTTAAATCTTTGGTTTTAATTAGTTAGGTAGGTTCCGATCCAACACATTGTAGTTTCATTTATATACCTGTGATCTTGACTTTTATACCTAGGGGATGAGTACTTAAGGGGGTTAGATTTTGATAAGTTCTTTAGTGGGAATGACACTGATGAAGACTGCACATTGTAGTCGAAATACGTATCTGTCATGGATACCAAAATTAATTAAGTGGAATTAAATGGAAGATAACCCTTTTTTTTGCTGTTTTATTAAAGCATTCCGCTAACAACCCAATTTCATTACTTCATTATGATGGCTACCAAGCCTTTGGGATTTTCCTTATTAGAGAGTTGAATAGATTTTTCTCCTTTAACTTACTTAAATCTTTGGTTTTAATTAGTTAGGTAGGTTCCGATTCAACACATTGTAGTTTCATTTATATACCTGTGATCTTGACTTTTATACCTAGGGGATGAGTACTTAAGGGGGTTAGATTTTGATAAGTTCTTTAGTGGGAATGACACTGATGAAGACTGCACATTGTAGTCGAAATACGTATCTGTCATGGATACCAAAATTAATTAAGTGGAATTAAATGGAAGATAACCCCTTTTTTTTGCTGTTTTATGTTATGTTGGGTTACCGAACCCTTCTCAACACCGTGGAGTAGGTAGGGTAGGGTGAGGTTAGTCCCGAACATAATCATCCACCCTGAGATGTCCTATATTTCTGAATAATCCTTCCTTGCTATCCTTGATTATCGTTGTAATCTTCTTTCTCATCCTTGGTCTACCGTGCTGACTTTGAATCGGTGTATTGACGTTGAAGTAGACTACTCACCCACCAACAAAGGCCTTCATCTGTCACTGATGACGGTATTGTATTGCTCTCCACTCTCCGTTCCGTTAGCTATCGAGATGATAATGTTTAGCTATCTTGGTTTATGTTCTTGAACTTGATCCTTCCTTAGTGGTTCGTACCCTGGCTGATGAGACTTCCGTGGTTCGCCTTCAGTTCCGTCAACCTCAATTCCGTGGGATGGAACTCGCTGGTTGCTGATGTAGAGCTTGCAGGTCGGCATAAAAAAACCGGTAATGAGGAGTGATGTAGTTTCTGAATTATACCAACCTTCGAAGGTCCATACCATGTTGGGTTACCGGACCCTTCCCAACACCGTTTAGGGGGGGGGGATAATTCATTTACCTTGCCGTTTCTGGAGTGGGACCTTCTTGGGCGCCTTTATAAGAGCGGTGTAGGTGCTCTTTGGATTTTCGTTTGGGGTTCTATTCAACCGTTTTCACAGATCACACAGCACATTCTACACAGAAAAAACTACAAGGGACAGCTTATGGGGTTGTACGCAATGGTGACGTAGGACTACGTGGTCTTATATAATAAATCTTATTTGTTAACTGCAGCAGGAGCTTGCGTTTTGTGTAGGAACAGGAATTTGAGCGGGGTTCTCTCTGTTTATACTCTTTAGTATGACGCACTTGACATAGGCCCACAGGAACTCACGAAGAGCTACTGATTCCGATCAATAGCGGTGCAGCTTTTTCCTCTTTCTACACGAAATAAAAAAAGGACAAAAACCATTACATCGCCTGCAAGGTAAACTTCTAACATTCGCTGCGATTTTCATGAACAGAAGATGATAGGAAATGGAACTAACATTCATTGTAATAAATTTTTGGTTTACGTGGATGCTCATGTGGGCTGTAGCTCACTGCTTGCAGGCAGCCTATCATTGCCTTTCGGTTGAAATTCAACTTGGAAATCTGTGTTAGAGAAATCGCTTTTCGCAGGCAATCGGTAATAATTTTAATTATCATAATAACAGTTGCACATCCGTTAAATTTTCAATAGTAACATTTTGAAAAATGATCAAGTTTTATTTTTAACAGATTTGTAGAAAAATTTCTTTCGATTGGTGTATTAAGAATTATAATCCATCATCTCTGGATCAAAATCAGACCACCTTCATGCCGCGACCGACTTTGGTTTTTGAAATCGCACCCCCAATGTTGCCTTAAAGTACATGGTTTGTTAGATTTGAACATATCTAGATAGAGCTGGAATTATGCGAAACAGCTTTTGTAAGCAATGACTGTTGTCGATGACTTTTAGGAATTTAAGGCACGCCCACGCAAACCAACATTACCGTCAGGCAGGGAAAGTCTCACCCTGCCTAATAGTGATGTTGATTTGCGTGGGCGAGCCTTGGCTTTCAAGACATCATGGAAAGAAGTAATTGTTTACAAAAGCTGTTACACCCTAATTCCAGCTCTATCTTGATATGGGAGCTGAGATCCGATTGATGACTTGAAAAATGTCCAAAAAATACTCTTTAACAAATTTATGGTGATCCGTTGGAAAGAACCATTTTGTCGTGATGGTTGAGTAATGCTGAGCTATTAGGGTTTTAAACACAGATGAGGCTGGTGAGCTGTATGTTGTTCGGAATGAGGCGACTCACGAAGAGCTACTGATTCCAATCAATAGCGGTGCGGCCTCTTCCTCCTTCAATGGATGCTCATGTGGGCTGCAGCTCACTGCTTGCAGGAAGCCTTTCGTTGTGTAGTGGAGAACAATGTTCAACGCCACGCGCCGAAAGCACTACTGCTGCTCCAGCTGATGCTGACGACCAGATACCACCACACACGGTGATTGGAATTAAATCCGATCAGCTGTTGAGGCCAGCCTTGGTAGCTAGCTGCTTACGGGGAACCTTTCGTTGTGTACTGGAAAACACCACCACTCACCACGCGGTGATTGCATAAACGCCGTTTGGTGAGACCGGATGGAATTCAACTTTGAAATCTGTGTTATGGAAATCGCTCTACACAGGAAATCGGTGATAATTGTCACTATCAAAGAAACAGTTGCACATTCGGGCAGTTTTTAATAGTGACATTTAAAAAAAAAATTATGAAGTCTTAAATTTGATGCGTAAAAATAAATCTTATCGATTGGTGATAAAATTATGGAAATCGGTCCTGATTTGGTTGAGTTATTAAGGTTAAAAATATTTCAAAATTTTGTTACATGTTCCATTTTTGGTTTCCACAAAGTGTATCCCCATATAGAAATCACAGACGTAGTCCTACGGCAAGAATTTAGAATTTTAAATATCGCGTAAAATCTCCCCTCGATTAATTTTGAGCTACAATTGGCTTAAACAACGAAATCTTTCAAAAGCTTGCATACAGTATTGCTAACTTAAGCGATATTGAATTGTAAGTTTATGCCAAATCTAGCGTTAATTTTATGTGCGCTATATTTCGCAGAAATTTAAATGAATTTTTCAAACGGTGTGCTATCACACATCGCATATATTTAGCCCAACATTTAAATCTAACATATAATTTATTACTACACTTTACATATTTACAAAGTCATTACACAACACACATAACATATAAAAATACGTTGTGGCTCTACTCTAACCATCCTCCTAAAGAGTCAGAGCCGACCAGAGCTGGTAAATATCACGGCCGTCATCTGACGAAGAGAAAACAGGTCCTCTTACTATCACTGGACGAAACTACCTATCATTCGCTTTCTTGTCATTTTCAATGATCAAGCACTCATGAGAATAATTGTTTTGACATCAACATTTCTAACTGATTTAGATGAATTTAAGCAAACAACCGTTATCTAATCGGTAAAGTGGATATATTATTAAGATTTCTTCGGTACAAGTAACATTAATAGCATTTAATGAGCTAGTAATTACGATGATCACAATACTATCACGTTCTGTCATGACGAAAAATTCGTTGAGATTTTGAAGAAAATCGCTATAATCGTTTTATCATCCAAAGATAGTGACAGAAGTATCTCTGTATGCATCGCGTGAGATCTTTCATTGAAAATGACATTTGCCAGCCCTGGCTACATTAAGAGGTTCATACCTTCTACGATTATGGGCATCCTGGATGAAGCTGACGCAAATGCTTATTCAAACTTTCAACCTGGAAGTTTTCTAATTTTCAGAATGAAAACAAAGTATAAATTTACGGTCAAAGAATTAAATTAACGAAAAGTATGAATAACAGACATTCCATTAGCCAGTCAACTATATGAACCCGACATTGAAGTGTCCGCTTGAGAAACCATTTCTCATACTTTGTTGGCACCACCAATGTGGTGGAATAATTGCCATTCCAGCATAAGGCGGTCTGAAGATAGAATGCGTGGTTGAGATTTGCAGATTATCCGTCTCAAAGCATTGCCGCCCATTAAAAGCAAGCAGCATTCCGAGACTCCGACAACGAACTGAGCGTGTTTACACGTCTGCTTCAATTTGCTACTAATAAACTATACGACGCTGGAGTGCATGTCAAAATCTCGATGTATCTAACATGTTCGTGTTTCTTCGTTCCGTTTCAG